ACGTCGTCGTACTATCGACGTTTTACCGTTACGTACGTAAGACGGTACGTCTACTACGTCCGTCGTACTCTCGTCGTTCGTCTCTCGTCTGTCTCTCTCTCTCTCTCTCTCTCTCTCTCTCTCTCTCTCTCTTCAAGTGATACGGGACTCGCCTGAGTCCAACTCTGATGAGGGGAGGGTGAGTTACTCTGAGCAGGGCACGGGATACATAAATTTTTTAAAATAATTCTTAAAAATTATAAATATTTGCGATGGTTATATAAATTTTCATATATAATTTGGAATATTTGATAAATATTGGTAAGTATTTTTTTGGCATAATCCTTTATTTATATAGATTTAGGATGTAAAGGACATCTCAAATCACTGGAAATACAGTTCAACCATGGCCACAAATCCATCTGTACATTTCCAAAAATGGTGCTAATTTGATGATCTTTGAAGAAGTAAAATGAAGAGCAAAACAAGGTTTTAGATATGGGTGAGGTTTGCATAAGGTTGCAACCTTAAATAATGAAAGCTGCACATCCAAATTTTATCATAAGATGCAATTTTGGTGTCAAAAGCTTTTAGGATGGCTTGAGAATATATTTTCTTCCCTAAAATTTTGAACTCCAAAATTGGCTCAACTGAAGCAGATCTATAAATACATAAAAATATTGAAAATAGATGGTCCATATAATATATTGTAAGTTGTATCATTTTTAGTACTCAAATTTTTTATTTTTTTTCCATATTCATGTATCTCGATGTCAAGATGAATAATTAGATGGTTTTTCAATGTCAAAGTAGGCCTTTCTGATCGAGTTTTGAGGTGCACCTTATTTCTACAATTTAGGTTGTGAATCTTATGTACACTTTTTCATTTAGATATACCATTTTAAATTTAAACATTTATTCATATTTTCATATTGATGATTGCAATGGTCAAGATCCCCAAAAATTTTGGATCCCACACCCAACTCTAAGATGAACTTTGAAGGGGGATACATATAAACAGGGGCTCTAGCTGAAGCACAGTTGAATTTTCAGGTGCACACACAATCGGAAGGTGCAAGTGTGGTTCAGTACAAAACAGACTCTATAACTTCAACCGAACTGTCAAGCCCGACCCGACCCTATCCGTGAGTTACCGGAACTACTTGAAGAGGAAATGCAGGTGGGCCTCAGAGGAGGTTGAGCTTGATGCCATCACCCCAACAAAGTTCGACTCCGTCTACTACATGAACCTCCAAAAGAAGATGGGACTTCTCTCTACTGATCAGTTGCTCCAGTCTGACTCAAGAACTGCACCCATTGTTGTGGCCCTTGGAACGCAGTCAGGGCTCTTCTTCCAGCAATTTGCTGTGTCCATGGTGAACCTTGGCAACACCCAAGTGCTCACTGGGCCTCATGAAGGCCAGATCAGAACTAATTGCAATTTTGTCAACCGTTAAAAATTCTTCTTGTTTGTACATGCAGTTTCTCCTTCTCAAAGAGAAATTGCAATGGAACAAGGTTTACATCTTCAAATTTGTTTTCTTTATAGTTTTTCTTCTTGGTTTAGGGGAAGTATTGATTGAAAGACTGTGCATTATGTTGAGAGGAACAATAATTCATGATTTATAGAATAAACCACAATGGAACGCATGGTTACTTTCGATGCCAAATGGAGATAAAGTGGGGTGTGTTAGAAGAGTCCATCTCAAGTTCTAGATTATGGAGGAAGAATAATTTTTCTATGTTCAACTTGTGGGAGAAAATCTTCTATGCATACAAAGGTGCTTACATTATACATCTTGTGTGATATATAAAAAAGAAAAGAAGTATCCTAATACAATATGCACGATTAAGGAAAGATCATCCTGTCTAGTATGATGTATAAAACAAAGGAAAGAAAACATACAAACACACACATTCCCCCTCCAAAAAGCTGATTAAGTTGTTGCTTGAGTAGATAACTAGTGGCTTCATCATCACTATAAATAATTAGATTATTGACATAGAGTAGGAGAATTGCACGTCCCTTGGGTATGACTGAGACAAACATGGCAGGTCTTGATGGCTCTGTCTAAAACCTATGGATACAATACTAGAACTAAAGTTTTCGAACCAAGCATGGGGAGCTTGTTTAAGCCCATAGAGTGCATGTTGTAGTCGACATATTTTATTATTGGGATTGGAGACCCCATGGGATGACTTAATATGAACTTCTTCTGCGATGCGAGATCACCATTGAGAAATGCATTGTTTTCATTGAGTTGTTAGAGGGCTATTAATGAACAACATCCATAGAAATCAGGATATAAACCCTAGTTATGTAGGCAATAGGAGCAAAAGTTTTAACAAAATTAATCCCAAAGTGTTAATTATAACCTTAACCACAAGTTATTAGCGCTCAATGCTACCATTAACTTTAGTACGTTGGACTGCCCGAGTAACCTGCCTCGGCCAAAGGGCGAGTTCTTGGCTGAGTAGAGTCCCAGTACCTTGTTGCACATTATTATTCATAATTGCCTTTGGGGTTTACAAGATGTTCATTGGTCCTTCATGCATATAGGGAAGCTAATCCTATGATTGATTTTTTAGTGAAGTATAGGCTCATGCTTTCTGGAGGTACAATTTGACGAACTAGACCTCTTACTTCAAATATAGCCAATATTCTCCATCAAAGGGTTCCCTCAATGTAATTTGTAAGATTATTTATTGAATGAAAACAGATAGGAGACCTTCTTTCTTGATGGTTCACTATTAAAAAAAAAAGAAAAAAAAAAGAGAAAAATAAGACCAAAGACATCTCTGACTGATTTTTGTTATTCTTGTGTTGTGACCATGTACTCACTGTATTTGGTTGATCCCTCCCTTTGATAAGGAATTTATAGATTGTAGATGCTGCCTTTTCAAGTGAACACAATCGTAATTTATGGAAAAATGTCAACAAATAGTAATAAAGGCTTCCAAACTATGTTTGTATGTAAATTGCTCCATTCTTTTATGCAATATGCCCAATTGTAACTCCTTCAACTGCACTCTTTCATTATTTTTGAATGAATTATGTACACTCAAAAAAACTTTATGGCTACAAAACTCTGTATCTACAGCTATCTCTCCTGCTTTAAAATCTATGGGCTTGTCTGGCATGAACTCTCACCTATCCCCTAGTGTAAATCCCTTTTGGGTTATTGACTCGGGTGTCTCTAATCATATGACTGGAGTACACATAAGTCCAACATCTACTAAACTATACCAAGGTAATAGTCAGATTATCACCGTTAATGGGGAGAGACTGTATATTATTGGTACTGATAATCTTTCACTTTCTATCTCCCGTGGTACACTTTTTCATTTACGTAATGTCCTTTTCGTTCCTAAATTAACTGCTATCTAATCTATGTGGGCTAACTAGTTGATGATGGTTATAATGTTCAATTTTATCGTGATGGTTGTCTAATATAAGACCAACGCACATGGAGAGTGACTGGGAAGGGGCGTAGAATTGGTCATTTGTTTGCCTTGGAGTTTGAGAACCTAATCATGACGTTTCTTTCTTTTCTCCATCGAATTCTAATTTTTTTGTTTTTAATAAACAATGGCATATGTGGCATCAGAGACTTGGTCATTCGAATGCAAATAAATTAGATACTTTGTTTTGTTCTGGTTCATTGCCCAATAAAACACTTGATTTGAATTCTATCAATAAATCTTGTATTAGTTGTTCTTTGAATAAAAGCACCCCAGTTTGCCTGTTTCGACTCGAGTAGATAAAACAACTGCACCTTTCCATTTCATTCATAGTGATGTGTGGGGTCCTGCTCCAACTTTATCCAGAATGTGATATAAGAATTTTGTTTTGTTCATTGATGATTGTACATGATATATCTAGATATACTTTATGCACCATAAATCAGACGTGTTCTCCCATTTTAAAACTTTTTTATCCATGATTGCAACTCAGTTTAATACCAAAGTAAAAATCTTACGGTCAAACTCCAGCGGGAATAGTTATCAAATGATTTTCAAGACTTTTTTAAAACACAAGGTATTCAATCACAAAAAACTTGTCCATATACTCCACAACAGAATGACATAGCTGAAAAGAAAAACTGCCATATCTTAGAAGTTGTGATGACCCTTATGCATGACTCTCATATCCCTCATAGTTTTTTGGTTGGGCTACATCAACAATAGTTTATCTCATAAATCGCCTCCCATCCTTGGTTTTGCATAAACAATCTCCATATTATTCATTATTTCATGTTCATATTGATTATTCTCTCTTTCATATTTTTGGGTGTGTATGTTTCGTTCATCTTCCTCAGCATGAACGAACAAAATTTTCTGTTCAAGCAGTCACTTGTATTTTTGTAGGTTATTGTCCCGACCAAAAGGGGTTTCTATGTTATGATTCAACAGCTCGTCGTATATGTATTTTTTGCAATGATGTCTTTTTGGAAAACATCTTTTATTACTCTTCAATTGCAAAATCATCAGGGTCTTCTGCTCATTTCTTTCCAGATTTCTCCATTGATAAACCAACGCCTCAACAACAAGGCCAACAATATCAATCCACGCACACTCCATCTCACCAACTAAAGTAAGGTCAAACCTCCACCATACCTGTAAGTGATTCGTTGCCCTCCACCCTACCTATAAGTGTTTCTTTTCCTACATTTATTGATAGCTCTACTCAGTTACGATGTTCTTCACGTGTACCTCATCCACCTAATCGATATGGCTTCTCCCTGGATGATTTTGACTTTTCACTACAGCCTAGAGCTCTGTTTACTTCTCTTGATACGATTGAGGTTCTTTCTAAAGACCTAGATCTCTATTTATTCCCTGGATCATTATTTGCCCAATTAGATTCAGTGGATATTCCTTCCTTCTACCAGCTAGCCTTGACTATGCCTTGTTGGAAAGAGGCAATGGATGCAAAAGCAGTGCTTCGTTGAAAAATGATAATTGAGATCTTGTTTCGTGTCCTTCTCACACATCTATTATTGGTAGTAAATGGGTCTTTTATGTGAAGCTTAAATCTGATGGAAGCATCAAGCGATATAAAACACGATTAGTTGTTTAAGGTTACAAATAGAAGTATGGCATAGATTATGATGAAACGTTTGCTCATGTTGCTAAAATGACTACTGCACGAACCGTAATTGCCTTCTCAACTATTCGTCAGTGGACTATATCACAAATGGATGTGAAAAATGCATTTGTCCATGGACATTTGAAAGAGACAATATTTATGTGACCTCCTCCTGATTATTGCAATGATAAATCTATGGTATGTCATTTGAAAAAATCATTGTATGGTTTAAAATAAGCTCTAAGAGCTTGGTTTGAACAATTTCGACAGGTTGTTCTGCATGTTGGGTTGAAACAAAGTGCTTATGACTATTCGCTATTACTCATCATTGTTCTTCAAGAATAACAATTCTTCTCTTATATGTTGATGATATTCTCATCACATGAGACAACCTTGATAATATTAGACACTTAAAAGAGCTTCTCAGTCAATCATTCAAATGAAAGATTTGGGTAACTTATTTTCTTGGGTTAAAGATTCATTATTCCACTAATGGATACATAGTTAACTAGAAGAAGTACACCAAAGACTTGATCAAACTGGCCAACTTATCTGATGAGAAACGAGTGGATACACCAATGGAGGTGAATATAAAATATATAAATAATGATGGAAACATACTTCCGGACCCTACTCTTTATAGACAGTTGGTTGGGAGTCTACTTTATTTCACTATGACTCGTCCAGATATTTCTCATGCGGTTCAGGTCGTTAGCCAATTTATTGCTGATCCTCGTTGCATCTACCTCTCTGTTGTCCATCATATCATTCGTTTACTACAGGGTACATACCATAGATGTCTATTATTCTTTTCTAGCTCTTCTGTCCAGTTACGAGCCTATGCTGATGCGGATTGGGCAAGATACGTCGATACTAGACACTCAACCACTGGGTGGTGTATTCTTCTTGGAGATTATTTCATATCATAGAAATGTAAGAAAAATCAAACTGTGTCTAATCTTATGCGGAAGCCGAATACCGAGCAATGTCCTTAGCTTGCAGTGAAATTACTTGGTTGAGAGGCCTTTTATAGGACCTCAATATTCTTTATCGAACTCCAACACCATTGTATGTTGATAATATGAGCGTCATATGTATTACGTTAAATCTAGTGTTTCATGACTGCATAAAGTATATAGAAGTTGATTGTCATTTCATTCGGAAAAAATTTCTGACCGGAGAAGTTATACTCTCGTATATTACCTCCCAACAACAACTTGCAGATATATTGACCAAGGCAATGACTCGTGCTCGTCGCGACTATCAATGACTCGTGCTCGTCGCGACTATCTCGTTGACAAACTGAGGATGTTCACCCAACCTCAGTTTGAGGGGGAGTGTAGAGATAGAGATAGTTGAGGAGATAGAGATAGTTGATGATAGGTTATCTTGTATTTGATGTAGATATCTCTCTTGATAAGACTAGATTAGTTTGTCATTATCAATAACTGATTAGTTGTATATGTATACGAGACTTTGTATATTCTTGACGATTAATCAATACACAGAGATTTCTCTGAAGGATTCAAAATTTTAACAATACAAACCTTAATTTTCGGTAAAATGTAAAATGATCCACTTATATGCAGAAATTACAAAGAAGGTCAATAAAAACCTTTTTTTTTGTTTTTTCAAAATTTCTCCCAAATTTTGACTTTTGGTTTTATTTCGTTTTAGCTTTTTCGTTAGAATGGTATTGCCTTAAAGCTTGGGCATTGGCCTACTAAGAAAAAACTAAAATAAACTAAAAAAAAAATCAAAATTTGAGTTGATCGAGGGGTAATTTTGAAAGAAAAAAAAAAAGGTGGGTCGGCCAACCTTTGTAATTTCTACCTATAAGTGGAGCATTTTGTATTTTACCTAAAATTTTAGGGTCTGTACGTAAATCACTCTTTTTGTTGTCATTCCCTCGGTACTACAATTAAACACCATCAAAGACGAGATTGATGTTGAGGCCATAATTGTTGGGATCGGCAGTGGGAACTTTACTAGGATCGATATCAGGAGTGGGCGATTGTGAAATGCTAGAAGATCCTTATGGTTGGGAACGTTGTGTGTACAATGCATATATTAGGGATCGAGATCCCCAAGTGTTGAGGAATGAGATTCCAACCTTTGGGGATCTTTATTCTGACCTTCTGGGATGTTGATCCCAACTTTTTGGGGATCTTGTTATCTACCTTAAAGTGTCTGATAATCTAGGATTATATACACTCTTTAAAGTGGATATCTTATTATTTATAACAAGCAAGCAATGTAGCTATATTAAAAATATAGTTGTGCTGGCTGCCTATGAACGAAAAAAACCATTAGTTTGGACGGGGATCAAGACCCCAAAGTTTAAGAATCAAAATCCATGAGATCAATTTTGGGAGCGACAGAATCGAGATCCTAGAAGGGATTGTCTACCAAAGAAGGCGACCTCAACAACTCTGATTGAGGTCTTACAAGTGGGTAGTAGCAACACTTTGATACCACCTTCTTCAATATTTTACATGAATTGAATTTCTTTGCATTGAACTAGTTGTGTCTTGCACAAATCACTCTATTCATTGGGAGGCTAATACTTCATCTCCTTGAAACCCTTTCCGGACGACGTCGAGCATTTGCATGCATCTTGTATTGCTAATTGCTGGCTTCAATGGATTGGCAAACCTTCTCATGCAAACTTCATTTGATAAGCGTATGTGTAGATACTCTGATCCTGATAGAGAAAATCATAAAAAACTAAAGTTACCTAGGACAACTATACCTAGGACAACTATCCTGAAACTTGAACCAACTATAATCCCCAAAACAAATATGCCCAGACTCTGCCGCACTAATCCCACGCCCAATTATACCCAAAACCGAACCCAAACCTTTGGCCTTTAATACGTTGGCCTGGCTTCATCGAACCAAAAATCCTGGATAATCAGACCTTTCGGACCCCATTAACTTCATTTCGCCTCTCTCGGAAAGACTCCGAAGGACTGGGAGTAGTCATGCGACCATCGACTCCCGAACCAGCATCGACTCCTGATGCCGGGCCTGGGGGCCAGCTTAAGGTATCTTTTATTTCGTTTTTATTTTCTTTTATTCGTTTTCTTTTCTATTTCTAGAATTCCTTATAAATCTTCCCTTCTTTAACCCCCGGTTCAAAAATATCTTTCGGACTTCATATTCAAATGTGTCGGAGGCAGGCTCTGCAGGCTATTCGAGCGGAGATGGTCTTGTGGCTTGATTCTTGCCCAGATAGTAATTTGATGGGACCCTTTTTTCTACTTATTTTTGAAGCTTTAAATTTTAGAATTAAAGATGAAAAGATATTTTAAGGCTCTCAAAAGAATTTCAATATTGAAACCACAGTATTTAAAGGGGCTTTACTTTTGATTGTTGTACAAACTGCACCCTAAGATAAATGTTGTGTTTGTAGACAAATCCCAATTCTTAAATAGGTGGATGGAAAAGGATTCTTCCATGTATGTTTTGGAGCCGAGGGAGTAGAAGTAAACCACGGTTCGGCTCCTATGCTCCCAAAAGAGCACATTATACGTGCTCGAGTCATAAAATGTTTTGAATTTGGTTGGTGATCTATTGACTCAACATCCGCCAATTCACGCGACAATATGTAAGTGCCCTTTCCTACAAATTTTATAAATCTCTCTCTCTCTCTCTCTCTCTCTGGTTCTGAAGGTGGGCAGACGTTAAGGAGGATGATGGGGCTGGTCAAGAATCTCACTCGTCAGCAACTCCAATTCTTCGATACTCACGGTTGTCTTCCTCTTCCTCTTTCTTCCGTTTTCCTCTTAATTATTATTCTTCTTCTTCTTTTTAACGATGCAAGATAAATGCTCTGAACTAAAAGTTTATTGCCAAGAAATGAATCCTATTTTGCTTTATGATTCAGGATATTTGGTAATCGAGGGGTTCTCTGATCCTGAAGAGGTCCAATCCATGAGGAAAAGGATGGATGAACTCCTCCAAAACTTCGATTGCTCTAACGTTTCAATCTTCTCTACGAAAAAGCAGGTTTATTTATTTTTATTCATTAATGATGAAACCTGCTGACTAAATTTTAATTCTGAATTGTTAAGCTATGTGATGTTTTTTTTTTTGGGTAAATATGCCATCCCTTTTTTGAGTTTTATTGTTGTTTTCTTTTCCTTAGACAAATTTGACGGATGATTATTTCTATGAGAGTGCAGAAAAGATTTCATTTTTCTTTGAAGGTATGCATTTATGTTTATCTAATTTTTCAACTATTGATTGTTTGTTATGTTCTTTTTTTCTTCTTAGTACATAAAGTTGTTTATTAGTAATTTAATGTGATGTTCATCTGTTCTCAGAACATAATCAGTCTAGGAATATCAGACTTCCCAGTTCTAATGTTATCAATAAATATTATGGGAAATTGTTAAAACACTATATTTCTTTCTCCTTTCCTGGACTGATTATAAGTTTATAACAAGTGGGAGATATGTGATTTTTACACTACTAAATATTATGACTTCTAGAGATATGGATGCTTAAGTGCCAAATTTTATACGAAAATTGTGTGTGTGTGTGTCTGTTCATGTGCTTACGTGCGTGCCCTGATAAACTCAGAAAATTATACAGTTACCAAAGGTCAAGGAAGTCTATTGGTGGCCACCAATATTTTGAAGGACCCTGATTTGTTGACTCAAGCAACCTGCATTTTGAATTTATTGAGATGAAGGACGTGCCTTGGATTTCTTTTCTTTTCTTTATCCTTTTTTTCTTTTCTTTTAATAAATTCACCCATCTGAGTGTGAATGAACATAAAAAAAAAAACAGATAGAATACTGGGATCCATTCAGTGAGGGTACAGGAGCAAGTATGGAATAGTTGAAGTTGCACTGGTGGCATCGATTTTCTTTGAAGTGAAAGAGTGCCTAAAATACGCTACATCATTGACAACCAATGCATAGATCCAATTAAGAAAAAGTTTTAAAAAAGAAGGTAAAAAGTTGTTATCTTGCAAGTTCTTGCAGCGGAGAAGAATCAATTGACCATGTTGTGTGATCATTGAGAACCACATCTGATGGTTAATTCACAGGATACTGGGTTTTCTAGAGCAACACAGTGACTTGGACTTTTGTACTCTTTATCATCTCAAGGTAAATTGATAACATGTGTAGATGCTGCATGGACTGGCCAATCAGGTATTGACTTACATGGAACTGTGTATTTCTTAACTTATTGGTTTCATGGAGGTGCGAGAAACATTTTACAACATAAAAAATACTATATGAAGCATAAAACCAAGATTTGCCATCTATTATTAACAATCATATGGGTTATACATGCTTCTCCACAACTTTTCTATTGAATTTATGTCTCAAGCCCAACCCTATGGAGGCGATTTCAGTGTTCTTCGGATCACGACAAACTCTTTGTTTCTTGGTCAAATGAAACTCATCCATGCGAACTGACATATTATGTGGAATCGTTTGACTTTAGGTGCTAATACTCTAGTAATTATATGCAATTTAGATTCCTTTACTAGATTACCTTGCTAAGTTGATCTTGTACTTTTAGGTAGAAATTTCTTGTGGGCTAGTTATTGCTAGTGCAAATAATTCCTCTTGTACACTAACTTGTCAAGTGTCAGTCTTAGGACATGTTTAGCTGCATGTTTATAATTTTGCATGGGCATTAGTGCACTTTGGTCATCTGCAGTGTTATATAGGCGTTTTAAGCCATTTTTCTTGAGATGAATGATTAAAATCTCATTTAGAATCTGAAAAACATCCCTGAGTCAACTCAACTTGTTCAATGAGCAAGTTTTATGATGAGATGTATTCGAGGTTTTCCTTATATAGAACTGTTTACGTTAATTTGACCAATATAGGGTCTTGGTTGGGTTGTGGTATGATGCTGGTGGCAATTTGGATTTGATTCTCATTGATAAGATTTTGGTTTTAATTCTTCTCAAGAGCTTTTGAAAAACTAGCTGAGCTTTATGGAGCTTACTTATGCTTTAGGTGAGTTGACTTGGTTTTGGCAGTGAATGAGTCGGCATCTGGGTTTGAGTTTTTGAATGCTGTTTGAGGTATGCATTTGAGGTCCTATGGCCTCCATTATTCTGTTGAATGGCTTGTTGGGTCTTTGCAGATTTTGAATTTTTGCCAAGTTTCTCAATAAAATGATGTGGAAATCACATGCATAGATGCGGCTACCATTAGCATGAGCTGTTATAGTTTGAATGAGCTTTATTTGAGCCCCTTTTTACTTGTTGTGATTCTTGATCTTTGACATTGAAATGTTTATGCAATGGTGTGCTGGATTGCAATTGAGCTCTATGCATGTCTTTATATTATTTTCTCAACTAATATATGATTCTCCCTGTTTCTTATTGTTTTATTCTTTCTTTTGACAGAGAAAGCCTTTGATGATGATGGGAAGCTGAAACAGTCAAAGGAGCTTTCCATCAACAAAGTTGGACATGGTTTGTCCATAAATTAAACAAAAGAAAATGTATTCAATGAATGCAATGAGGTTCAGTGCATTATGTTCACATCATTCCAGCCATCAGATGTCAACGTTAGACAGCTGGGGCATGCCATTTATCCTCTCAAACTCAGCATGCTTTGAGCTGAGAAACAGCACTTCTCCAGCCTTGCCTTGTTGACATCCAATAGCTGAGGTGATGTGAAGAACTGGAGGCAATCTCAATGTGGTCATTTATGCATACCCGAAGTAAAATATGTACATGACATGTTTTGCCACATGTCCTGATTTACTAGAGTCTAGATCACAAGATTTATAAGATATGATAATGGAGGGTTCAGAGTTTATAATATACAAAATTTCATACAGCAGTTTGGATTCCTAATTAACGATATTTAATTATGCACACCTTTTCATAATCTGATTGAATGGTGTTTTTCTCAGATTTGCATGGATTGGATCCTGTATTTTCAAAATTCTCTCACTCTGAGAAAGTAACCGGTTTGCTTTTGTCGCTGGGTTACAAGAGGCCAGTGATTATTCAATCTATGTATATTTTCAAGGTAAGCTATGTGCTTGTTTTGGTAGTTCCTTAATTTGCTATATAATATTCTGATCTTTTGATAGTTTAACTCCAGTCTCTCAGTTTGATAATGTATTTGTTTTGCCTCAAATATTTTTTGGCACTATGTTTGTCTGGATTTTATGGTTCTATTGTACCCCATCAGAGTTACATTTGCGATCGTAGGCCTATACCAAGAGATTTAATAAACTAGTATTTGTTGTTTGCTATCCTCTTGTGATCAATTTTACTATTTGTTCTGGTTTTCTATTCATTTCCTACTCCAACATATTAACAACTACTTCGTTTCTGGTTCAGTATCAAGGCAGTAATATTATTTATGCCAAATCATCACTAAGCATGCTATAAACGATGATATGCCATTCACTTTTTTTTCCCTAGGGAAGTAAACTTATAATGATTGTGTTATAAACAGAATCTTGTTAATATTTCGTTCTTGTGCATTGTTATCTTTGTTGTGAATTGTTCATGTTTCTTTGTGTTAAGTGAACAAGTAATGGGGTAAACCGATCAACTGCTCATGTTTACAGTCAAAATATCAGTTTTGAACCTTATACTTGGTGGCAGTTTGTGGTCCATTTTTAAAGCTTCCTTAATGTTTCATTATAGATCAGTTTACTTGCTCATGCTCCCATCTAAGAAGTGATACCTCGGCTTTCCAAAAACTTTAATGTGAAACATCCAAAAAGGCTATTGCACCAATAAATACTAAATTTGAAAGTTACATTTTTCCAACAAAGTTGGAACAATATCTGCTGCTATTATTCACTAGCAGAAATGCTACTGCACCATTGAATAGTAAATTTGTATCTTACTATTTTGCCCAACTATAAGCTCAGATTTTGCAAATGCTTGTTATGAAGATCCTTGGATTGGTAACCCACCAGCTGTAATTCTTTTATTTGATTTTTTTTTCTATTCCAAGCATGAGCACTTCTTATATCATTCCCCCATTTTGCACAGTTTTGTTATTTTATTGTCTTGGATTAGTATTCAACTCTAATGCACATTCTTCTGTTATTTAATGTATTTGTATTGTATTACATTTACAGCAACCAGGAATAGGAGGTGAAGTGGTACCACACCAGGATAACTCATTCCTCTACACTGAACCCTCATCTTGCACAGGCTTGTGGTTGGCATTGGAGGATGCAACAACTAGTAACGGTTGCCTCTGGGCCCTCCCAGGATCCCACAAGAGTAGACTCTCTCTCTTCTTTGGGGTTCTAAATATCTTTTCATCAAGACTTTTTAAGTGCTGACCCATTTGAATAATTGAGGAGTTCCTTAAAGTGCCGTGTTGTTTGGATTTCATGTAGATGGTCTTGTGAGGAGGTTCATCAGAGATGATAATGGTGTTCATTTCGATAAACCATCACCATCCTATGATTATAGTGAGTTTGTGCCGCTTGAAGTAAAAGCTGGCTCCTTTGTAATCATTCATGGTGATCTTATACATCAGAGGTAGGTCAGTTAGTCATGGTAAACAAAATTATCATACAACTTTTGAGCATTGCTGCCTTATTGCTTCTATTTAGGAAGTCTCTTCCAGTCCAGTGGATGATGTAAAATGCTTTGGTCCATTGGTTATCACTGTCCAATGAACTGATGGAAGCTGATGAGGGAGTGTGACATTGTGATCTTGTCAAAACAAATCTCTTGCATCACCATCCATGATTTTGAGTGACAATGAGATCTTGGTTATTCCGTGATCTATTGGATTCTGTTACTTTTTCTTTCTCTGATTGCTAATTATAATTGGCAATTACCTTGGCTTTGTTTGTAGTTTTGAAAACCGATCCTCAAAATCAAGACATGCATACAGCTTGCATGCTGTGGAAACCGATGGTTGCATCTGGGTGCAGGACAACTGGTATGAATCAGGGATTTGCTTTCACATAGCGATTTATTTTTAGAATTGGCTGCTAATTATTATTTGAACATCTGTTTTGCCGCTGAGTTTTTCTAAATTACCAAATTCTGCTCGCTTCATTAACTACTGAAATTCCAATGTCATCCTAACTTCCAAGAACAGAATGGGTCCTCTTTTCCACTGAAACTTTGACATGTCTACTATTGTGATAGAACTAAGGAACCTATTTCTTTCTAGCTGGGCAATGAAAGATTTAGAGAAAATTATGGAACAGTGCCTGGGTGACCTACATACGGTATACAGGTGCCCCAGATATCAAATGCTATGGGAAGCCTGGAAATGGAATGTTCTGAAATTCTTTTCTGAACACTATGCCCTCCCTGGTTTGGTACTTTAAATAAAATTCTACTTTTCTTTTTACGGAGAAGAATAGTCCATTACTTGAAGTACCATAATCATACTGGGCATAATGGAATTATTTAAAAAAATGTTGACTGTTCTAGCTTCTACGTGCCTCCCAGTACATATCAAGCATCTGCATATCAAGTGCTGGTTTGCCGACCACTACGCTATAGTTCTCTCAAACTTATCATTTATTGTCATTTTTCTTAAGGGTGTGCATCAGTTGTGGTCATCATGGTTGAAAATGTTTAACAGGCATGTCCATAAGTGGGAGTATCAAATAGTATTCAAGTGTAGCTTTTTCTTCAAAAGTTTTGTATAGTTTTCAAAGAAACAACAGCATTCTATAGATCCTTTCAGATTTACTATTTGTAAGCTTACGTTTCCGTTGTGTTGAACTTGTCTAGGCTTAGACGGAAAGTGGATCCAGAACCTCTATACATTTCTTGACTTGCTGAATAGCCATGAAAGAAAGTTGCACTGATGATGATCTTTTGTGAAACACTGTATATCCCCCCTCTCACTTTTATTGCTTGTTATGACAGCCACAATGCCAATTACTTGAGTTATAGCTAAGACTACTAAGTTTTCCATTGGTAATAAATTCTGGATATTTTGATTGCATTTTTTGTTATGATTTCATATATCCTTCCTTTTTAATGTATTAGAGTTGATATGCCAGTGGACTCAACTATGGGAACCTAGAGGGATATTACTCTTCTTGACCATCCTATTCCCACCATAATCTTTTCTACTGTACCACGTAGGCACCAGTTATAAATGGGTTGTATGGCTTGCATTCCCAAATTGGGATAAATAGCAATATATATACTACAGGTTGTTATAAATAGGGGATATATAGAGTTATAAATTGAGGTATATAAAAATATACTGCATGCAATTTGTTTTGGCTTTTTTTTGTTAAAGAGTTATTTGGTTGTTAATACTTATCAGATTGTATGCATTAAGACCCCTTAGCTTTGCAGTTAACAGCATTTTTCTTTAAAAAAAAAAAAAAAGGGTGTCAAATTCAAATGCTTGAGATTTTTACTAAGTTCAAAAAAATTTCATTTGAAATATGGGCTTGGTCAATGGTACACCGCCAGCTGTCTGATTTCAAATTTAATGGCCACGAGGTGGTTTTGACTTCCTTGTATGAAAAGTAATTGTTTTATTCTACACTTTTCCTATATATCTAATATGGCATACATTGTTGGGATAAAAAAGAGGCGTCATGATCAGGTTTTTGGGAAACTTGATGCATAATTGAACCAAATTAAATCCAAAATATAAATTGGATTATATGAATTGTTTCTTTTCAAATAAGAGAATTTACTTTCGTATATTGAAATGCCCTCTATATAGGTATCAACCTTATATTGTAGAAATAGGGCTCACCTTCAGTTGTCTTGATGCTGGAAAACCCTCCAATTAAAAAAAATATATATTTTATAATGTATTATAGACTATTTGGAGCTTCAAGTTTTGTAATTAGACATCATAGGAATTTCCAGCCCCTAAACTACATCTTTTGGCACTATTTAAAGTTTCGCTTGACAACTTTATATAAACCACACCCTTAAAATCTACTGTCCCTAGCATTATATAAACCACACCCTTAAAATCTACTTTCCCTAGCATTCCAAATATCATCTTGTGAAATTTCCCAGCCATCATAGGAATTTCCAACCCCTAAACTACATCTTTTGGCACTATTTAAAGTTTTGCGTTATTGACATCTTTATATAAACCAGACCCTTAAAATCTACTTTTCCTAGCATTCCAAATATGCTCTTGTTAAATCGAATATAAACCACACCTTTAAAATCTACTCTCCCTAGCATTCCAAATATGCTCTTGTGAAATTGAAGAGTCGTAGCAATATGGTGTTTGAGTACTAGAAATCTATTGCAAAAACTCAGCCATCATGGTTGATGTTAGGAAGGATTGGAGACCAGTGCTTCAATCCTAGCACCGATTGCCCCTTCTTTTTCAAAACAGACGCCTCAAAACTATCTGTTTCATGTTTAGTGCACAGTATGCGGAAAAAACCCATCCTTCTTGTTGAGAAAGACATTTACGTAAGATAAACTAGCAGTGTCTCAAAATCCATCTGTTTCATGTGATAATGCACAGTACGAGAAGAAACTCATCCTTCTTGTTAAGAAGACATTTATGAAGATAAAGAACACAGGTTTTCAGCGCTGTCGTAGCTTCTTAAGGTCCCCCAGAAGTATGAAGAAATGGGCTAACAGAGTGTGGCAGTCCTCGGTCCATAGAATATAAGAAACTCCATTTTAATAAGGTCATTTTCTACCTAGGATCAGTAGAGAAGGCTTGGTTAATCACTAAAGACATTGGAGACGTAGACGTGTATTACTCACGGTTGAGCCTTGGTTCCCTTTAGAACTATGGAAATCCCAAACACTAGTTTCCAAGCTTCATTTATATGGAAAAGTATTGACCGGAGCAAATAAATCTTTCTAAGGAATAGTATAACTTTAATTGGAGATGATAGGCAGATTATATTTTGTCTCCTCAAAACCCAATCCACAAATTTATTTCAGTAAGTACAAGAACTAGAAGCCATGGTTCAGATCTATCTTCGCAGCAACAGGAGGAGCAAGTTAGTTATCGAAGGTTGAATGATTAGGTGGTTTTTGTCCCTGCTCGTCTTCCAAACATAACAAAATTCTAATTCTAATTCTAATCCTGAAGGATCCTACACCACCATTGAATTGTAAAAGACCCCAACGAAACCACACAAGCAGCTTCCAAAGACATCCACCATAATAATCTCTACTTCCAACCAAAGCTTCTTGCAAAGACACCCCATGAAATGCCTTTCCTTATTCACCTCATCTCATGGGGCGTGATTGAGACAGCATATAACCTGCACTAAAATGGCACACCTAAAAGAAAACTAAGGCAGTATATAGGATGGTAGCCGGACACACACAACCAGCAACTAAAAAGTCGAGACTAGAAAATCATTCAAAGGAGAATCAGGAGAGAAAAGAGAATAGATCGTCAAGTGAAAGGCTGAAGTGAAGAGAAAATGAGGGCTCACTAAGCCCCACCCTATTAAGCATTAACGTAAGCGGTTGAATACCTGAATGTCGAAGCCCTCAAAGGACACCTTAAAGGCTCAAAAAACCCTATTACATGATAGTAAACCCTAAAAAAACAGAAATCACATATTAAGCGTTAACCTTATTTGAAGAGAATAACTTTAGATGGAAAGAGATGGACAAAAAAGTCAAGAAGAGATCATTTGCGAGAGGGAGAGAGGAAGGGGATGGACAGAAGGGTGGTTCAATTGCAGTTGGCAATCAATTTAAATATGCAAATTAAATCTAGTGTGAGGTCAAATTACTCGTCAAAAATTTTCATGTAGGCCCAAACCACAATTTGGCTGGGAAATTAAAAGGTGCCTTAATTCCCTAGGGACATGGCCTTAATAATGGCATGGAGAGCTTATGAAATGCGTGATCAGATCACCGTCATTTAATGGTTTAGACGGCGACGAAGAGGGACTGGGCATAAATCTTAGTTATCGGTCATCGCCGTCCAGTCAATGATCAGACTGTAATGTCTCTAATGACATACATTTCATGTGCTCATGTGGATCATATTATACTCACCCGGACCGCGAAACCCCTTTGCAATAACAACAGATCAGGAACCACACGTGCAGACCCATAAACCCTAAACCCTGCCTTTCCCCTTCCACAAGACTCTAGAAGCTACCATTTGGCTTTAATCAGGGCTCTTCCCCCACTCTCTCTCTCTCTCTCTCTTTCTCTGTTCGAAATGGCAAAGCGCCTCATCCCCACTTTCAACCGTGTTCTGATCGAGAAAATCGTCCCTCCCTCCAAAACCACCACCGGTATTCTCTTGCCTGAGAAGACTAGCAAGGTATCTCCCTACTCTCTCTCTCTCTACTTTCTTCCTATATCATCTTCCTCTCTCTCTCTCTCTCTTCTTCTCTAGTATTGACTAACTTAACGTTTGTTTAGAGCGACGTCGTACGTAACGTCGTAAGGGTAACGGTTACGTACGACGTAAGGTACCGGTCC